GTAAATATGAAAAGATAGGGTTGGTTTGAAAGTAAGTAACTACTTTATTGGAGGCGAGATTCGATTAAAAATATCTTATATTTTTGAACAGAGGGAATATGTAGTAACCTAAATTTCTAAACCACTTCTATATTATAACAGAATAATGTGTTATTAATTCATGAACAACACTTGTTATTTTACTAATATTACCATTAATCTGACATGGTTAATCACAAATGGGTTATAATCAAAACTTAAATAAATACTTGTTGATAAAAGACTGACACTTATATAGTTAATACCATTCTATTAGTTTTTCTAACTCATTAAAACTTGAATGAATTGCTTTTAATTTCAAATGAGTTATTGTTAAAACTTAAATGGATATCTATTAATGAAGGACTAACACTTGTATAATTAAACCTATCATATTAGTTTTTCCAACTTGCCAAAGTTCAAATAGTTTGTTGTTAATTTTGAATGAGTTATTATCAAAATTTAAACAGATACTTATTGATGAAGGATTATACAATTAAATTCATCCTCTTGGTTTTTCTAAATTGTTAGAACCCGAATGAATTGTTCTTAATTTTAAATGAGTTGTTATTAGAACCTAAATGTATATTTGTTGATGATTGATAACACAGGTTTATTGGAATAAGTGTTCACCTTGTATAAATAACAAATCATTCAAATTTTGACAACAATAACTTATTTAAAATTAACAACAATCCATTCTAGTTTTAACAAGTGGTTTGAAACTAAATTTAGTACCTATATGAACATGCTATTTTAATGAAATTTAAATTTCTATTTACAAATGAGAACTTGTAAAAAGCATGAATTTTTAAAGCTCCCAATTTGTATTTTATCATGTCAAATTAATAAATAACATTAGTGATATAATAGGTGTCGTTCAAAAATTAATAACACACCATTATATTATAATATGAAAGTAGTTTAAAAGCTTAAATTACTCTCTCTCTCTCTCTATATATATATATATATATATATTACCATATATAAGTAAATGGGCTTGGTGGCCAAGCTACTAAGTTTTTTAGATGGCCATGTCATAAGATCAAAACCTCCTTGGCTATCTTCACCAATTATTTTTCAATAAAATTGTCACCAGTTTTGGAGCTCTAGTGACTGGCTGCTAATAAGGTCTCTAGTGACCAGCTGCCGACAGACATCAGTAATAATGGAGGTAACTTTTTCTTTCTTTTATTTTTTTTAAAAAGCAAGAGTATTATGGTTATTTTATGCTCAAATTTATATTTTAGTCCCCTAATCCTATAGTGATAATTTATATTCTGTTGGTAATTTTTTACTATAAATTTGCTTCAGAGGTCTTCTAGTGATATTTTCCCTATATTTAACTTAAAAGTATTTAAGTCAATTACCTTTATTAAAAAAAATTAAGTCAATTACTTTGCAGGCAGATTTTTCAAAAAATGCATGGAACTTTATTAATATTCTAAAATTTAAAAAATAATTAATCATTTAATTCTTATAGTTTTAATCTAATTGTAATTCAATCATTAAATTTTGACTCATTGTAATTTAATTTTTATAGTTTTAATTTAGTTGTAACTCAATTCTTGAACTTTACTTTGTGCAATTTAGTCTTTATGATTTTAATTATTTAAATATTGGTTCCTATATTTTAAAAATAAAATTATAAAGATTAAAAATCTTTTTACCTTTTAATATTTATAAAGATTAAAATTAAAGTTTTTAATAATTTAAAATATTAGCAATAAATTTTAACATAATTTTAATATTTATAATGTTATTACTAATATTATAAATATTAAAATTTAAAAATATTATAATTTTAATATTTTAATATTTTAATATTATAAATACTAAAATTTTATAATATTTTTAATATTTATAATTTTATTTTTAAAATATAGAAACTAATATTTAAGTGATTGAAATTATAGGAACTGTATTGCAAGAGGCAAAGTTTAGAAATTGAGTTACAATCGAGTTAAAACTATAATGATTGAGTTATCATAAGTCAAAGTTCATGAATTAAATTATAATTGAGTCAAAATTATATTGATTAAATGATTAGTTTTCCATAAAATTTATTGGGACTTAAGATGAATTAATTGAACTCCTCAAGACTTGTTATCATTCTCCTTTTTTTTTTTCTTTCCTTTAGTTTCTTCAATTTGATTTATTCTTTTTTCTTGCATAATATAAAAACAATTGGTATGAATAGTTTTTGTGGCAAAAACTTTTCTTTATTTTATAATTAAGTGATAAGAGGAACATATATAAAAAATACTTAAATAGTTATGAAATATTAATAAATTTAATTAAATATAATCCAAATCCTATACATATTTACTTGTAAAATATACACTTATCATACATGTTTTGATTTGAAATATTTTAAACCAATAAATACATGTGTAAATCAATGAGCTTAATTAAAAAACTTCTAATATAATAATATTATATTTATCAAGTCTAAGTCTATGCATCTAAGCTTGTATGTTTGCATTTTTTCTAAACTCTTCTTGAATCATCATTCTCGTCATCTTTATGTACGTTCTTTAATATATTGAGTGTGACATGTTAATAATGACTTCAATTTCTTTCTCTTATATTTACTTTGGACAACTTTTAACAACAAGTTATGAACAAAGTAGTTAGTCTAGGTATCAATATATATAGGAATAAATATAAAAGTTATAAGGGAAAACATAAGTTTTGATCCCTATGTATTGCACAAGTTTTGGTATAGATCCTTGTAGTTTTTTCGATGTTTCAATTTTTTATACTTTTTCTTGTATACAATGTTGGTCCTTATATTTTCAGAGGGACGTTGGTATGGTACAAATAGTATTAAACATATCTATTAATATCGTTAATTTTGTGTTGGGGTATTAACTTGATGCTAAGATAGACATTTATATCAGCAAGAGGTTTGAAAGGAACAAAACATTTGAAGCGATTAGAATTTCAAATTATCAAAGTGTAGAGAAAATTTAAAATTACAAAAAAAATAATAATAAAATGTAGATTTGGATTTGATCCCATAAATTTTTATATATCTAAATGAGAGCTTTGATTCAAATCCAAATACATATTTATTTAAATATACCATAAAAATATATTTGATTAAGGATTTTTGGCAAGGTTTTTAAAGTCAGATTGGATTGAACGGTTGAATCAATAAGGTTGTCACTGTTGAAGGCTCGATCTACTTGAATGGACCATTTGAATAGTTGAGCTAGATTAAACCATCCAAAATTGAAAGTTGAGTTGAAATCTAGGATTAAGTTAGGAACCGGAGCGACTAGAAGTGAACCATCATTATTTTCCCTTTTTGGTATAGCTAGATCTAAATTTTAAAAAAAGGGAAAACACTGCATTTAGCTTGTGCATTTTACGTTGGGTCCTTGCACTTTATTTTTTGTGTTCCAAATCCTTATATTTTCCTCCGTCTGCAACATTGGCCCCTAAATTTTTAGAGTGGTGTTGACGTGGCTCAAATGGTATTAATAATGTTGATATATTAATTAGCACCATTAATTTTGTACTTACATGTCAAACTAATGCTGACATATAATTTTTTTAATAAGCAAAAATTAAAAAAAATCTACATCAAATAAAATAAAAAGGCTAATCTAGATTTTTTAAATGATAAGCAAAATGCACAAATTCAATATAATCTTTTTTTTTAAAAAAATTCTTATTAAAATTTCATATTAGCATCATTTTGACATGAAAGCACAAAATTAATATTCTTAATTAATATGTTAGTATTATTAATACTGTTTGTATCATGTCAACGTCCCTCTAAAAATGTATGGACTAATGTTACAAATGGAGGAAAGTATAGAGCCCTGAAATAACGAAAACAAAAAGTAAAGACTTATATCAAAACTTAAGTGAAGTGCGAGGATTGAGAGAGAGAGAGAGAGAGAGAGATCGAGAGAGAGAGGGGGGGAACATGGAGATGGGAGTGGAAAGAGAATCATAAGAAGGAGGAAGGCATGGAGCAAATCCTTCGACCATGAAGAAATTGAATTGAGAAGCAAGAAGCAAAGAAGAGAACAGAAGAGAGTGGCAACCTGCAAGACATGATGCATAGAGGCAAACCCTTCATGTTCTTTTTTTTTTTCTTGATACGGGAACCTTCGTGTTCTTTTTATAACTTTTGGTGTTTAATTTAATTTTGAATTTTAAATTTTTAAGGAAGAATGACAAAAAAGTCTCAACAAGATTAATTAATTGAAGTTAAGTTTCAAATATCAAACTTAAAAATCTACAATTTAATCTCTTAATTTTGTAACGGTTTGTGATAAATTTGCAACTTGTTTTTTAAATTTTAATGCGATTGAAGAATAAAAAAATTTATTTATTTTATTAAAATTTTAAATATAAATTATAAATTCATCATAATAAAATTAAAAAAAATTAAAAAATTAAGTTATAAATTTTTAAAATTTAACACTTAAAATTTAATTTAAATTAATTAATTATTTTAGGACTTGCGTGTCCCAATTTTTAATCCACCAGCATCTCAACCGTATGCCAGATTTCACCTTCTTTTCTTGGAATTCTAATCACAATGTCCCATGCCTCCTTTTTTAATTTTGAAAACCGCACCCCCTCTGCCTTCTTAAATTATTATAATAATTTAAATTATAAATATTTTTTCAGACTTTTGGAATTACATTTTTTAAATTTTTATACTTTGTTTTATTATTTGCATGTATATTTTTTATTTTAATTATGACATTATTATTATTTTTTAATTATTATATTATCAGTCTGATTATCAATCTTATCAATTGAATTATAAAAATTGTAACCCGTTAATTTTTTTAATTTATCATTCGATTTAATTTTTTAAACATTAATTTTGGAAACGAGGATTGGTTCAGGAATGGAGGGGAGCCCAATTTCTCCTTTCCCTCCCGATTTTTTTTTTTTTGGGAGCTAATGTGCACCCTCATTTGTTTTGTTACATCTCAAACCGCCTGTAGCTTAAAAAATAAAACGCTTGATCGCGACTCCGCATCAGTCGCTCTGGCTCAGACGCTTGGTCGCTCTAGCCCGCCTCACTCTCTCGCCGTGCATCGTCCGAGCGTCCTCATCTTGCCGTTGAGCTGCCGTCAGGCATTTTCCGGTGAGTTTCCCTCTGCGTCTCTCTCTATCCCGCCGCTGTCCTTTCTCGTTTTTACGTTATCGGGGTTATTCTCTTCTCAAACCCAGAAAACCCTTAGCACTCGAACTCGTATATTGTATCTTCTCTCTTCTGTCCATCCATTTTTCATCTTTATCTTCAGTTTTTGGTGGGTGATCACCATTTTTGTTGCTGCTTACATTTTCCGAGTTCGAGTGCTATGAATTTTGCATCTGCTTTCTTACCCGGTCTGCTATCGAGCTGGGCTATTTTTTTTTCATATTCTCATGTTGAATGGTGTTTATGGATCTGATTTCTCTGATTTGGTTTTCCATTGAGCTTATCTCGTACTGATTTATTGTTGAGGTTTTCACTGAGATTTGGGAAACTCTATTCTCATTCATCGAGCTTTGCATGTTCATTGCATGATTCTTTAAAATTTTACTGATTTACAGTGTTCATACATTCTTTGTAAGTTAATGTTTCAGTTGTACTATTAGGCTACTATGAATATATGACACTGAATCTTTGTCAAGTTAATTTTTTTATTGATTTGCTTGGTTTACTGGATCTTGTCGTGGAACTATATTTGTGTTTGTTCACTCTCTGTTATTTGTTATCTGCTCATGGAACTGAGCCTTCTGCTCTTTTTAACCCAGTCTCCGAAGAACATTCTGTAAACCATATTCCACACCAATTGCTTTGAAACATTGAACCCAGACCTTCTTCTCTCCAGCTTCCCCAGTGATCATAGCTTTTCTCGGTGTCATGGATCCTGATATATGTCGCTGGATACTAGAGTTTTTGCTTAGGAGTTCCATCCCTGATTCAATTGTCAAGAAAATCATGAAGGCTTTGCCTCTCTCTAATATCAATTCGCGGCTAAGGAAAACAATCGTTCTTAGGGATATGCAATCTGAGGTGGCTACAACTTCTCTTACAGAAAACTTATTAGTTTGTCTAGAGGTTATTGAAGAAATAAATAGGCTTGATGGCATTGCAATCTCAGCAGCGATGAAGGAGGCATATTGTGCTGTTGCTGTGGAGTGCACCGTCAAGTACCTTGATGCTTGCCCAGATAAGAACACTTGCGGCTTGTTTGATGATGCTGTCAATAGGATTTGGAGGGGCCGAGTTCGGCAGATGATGGAGGCTGTGGCATCAGGGAAAAAGATTGACTTGTTTACAGCTGAGTTGATCGGGTGGAAGGATGTTATAGAGTCTGCACGTTGGGATAGAGAGGTGTGCGAGAGGTTAACAAACATGAATACCAGACAAAATGCATTCAATAAGGTTAGGGTTTATCTAAAAGAAACCTGGGCATCCATGGGCCCTGCTTTTCTAGAGCAAGCAGCTATATTGTCTGAAGACAAGGGCTGGGGAAATTCATGGGGGGATAAGATGGGTGACATACGAGGAGAGCTTGCTGATTGTATACCCAATGGAGGTTGTGACAATGGTGTTTCTGAATCTGTTTTGGTCTCTGATCAAATGAATAGGTGTAAAGGAAGGTTACATTATTCAACAAACATGACGGAGAAGGGTTTAGTTGTGTTTGATGGCAATGCATTGTACACTGCTGCAACTTGCATGGAGAAGACACTGGTGGCAGGTGGAAACCAGGTTTTTGAGCAATTGGGTAAGAGAGCTGTGTCTTCTGTTGGCGGAAGTCAGGCTTTGGGAGGGATTGACTTGCCTCGGAGGATAAATAAAGGTTTGCTTTTCTGCCTTTCTTCTTCACGATTCATCTTTGTATTTTCTGTCAATTTCTAGCTTTTACACCTTCTGAACTTTAGTTTTTCAAAAGATTATGATGTCAGCTTGTTAAAAGTCATGTTCATGGATAATAATATGGGCTTATTAGCAAATGGTATGTAGTTATGTGCTTTAAGTTTTAAGGGGAAGCATAGGTGGTGCAAGTAGCATTGCTTAATTTTGTTCCAAAAACGGGCATTACTTAATCTTATTCCAAAAACGGACATCTAGTTATGTGGGTTCATTTTGTTTTTCTTCATTGTTTCCTTGTTTTTTAAAACTAGATGCTACTCATGTACAGTATAATCATTTTTCTTTGCATACTATAAATTATACTATAGTTGAATCATTCTCTGACGAGGAAAGTTTTTCTTGTATGATTGTTTGCTTGAATGACCATGAAGAGGCAAATCTGAAGTTTTGTTTTCTTTTATGTTATTACATCACACAACAAATTTAGCAATACAACATTATCAAATTGTCTGGATTCTTTTTGGTAAAATTAATATCATTTTCTCAGCCACTGCATTTTGATATATTTTCTGTCTCATGTAGAAATTGAAAAGGTCAAGCTGCCACTTGAACATAATCATGGTGCACCCCGTATACGGAGAGGAGTTAATATTAGTGATGCTGAGGAAGCAAAGTCATCGACTGTGTGCAGCAAAGATCACAATGCATCTAATATTCAAGTTGACAAACTTCGGAAATCTCTCATATCAAGTTCTTTGGAGTTGCGAGCATTGGTGAAGGATCCTCTTCCTGATGCATTACATAGATCTGATATTGTAAGATCTGAATTAGCATCAAAAGGTGTGAATCATGAGCCTTCTTTTGAAAACCAGAGTGCAGTTGTTGATGTACCAGAACAAAATACTTGTAGGAGCATGGTTCTTTATCAACCTATTGATATTTTAAAGAAACAATATTCTGCTAATTGTAGTAATGTTCAGCGTCCCAGTTTGATGGAAAGAAACAGTACTGCTTGTACTTATGAGGTAACTTTGTTATTCAATTTCTATTTTTACTATGGTGGCAAGGTTATAAGAATCTGGATGGCTTGCATGTTAATCTAAGGGGTGGCATCTTATATAAGACATGTCCTTGATGGCCTCTTGATTCAGAAATATTTTGTGGATATTGAGTTTCTTCTTGAATTTTGCTAAAGCATATTATATATTGTTTTTCTTTTCAGTGGGATGATTCATTTATTGACGTTCCTGGGAGAAGCCCTAAGAAAAGGAGGAGAAAGGGAAGATGGGGTTCTGAAGAGGAGGATGCGTTAAGGGCTGGTGTAAAGAAGTAAGTTTTTGTTTTAAACTTGTGAAACAACTTTCCCATGGTTAAATAATTCTGTTGTGTATTTAGTTGTGCTTGGAAGCCCTTGCATCTTGGTAGTATTCCTTGTAGCAAAAAGGAGTTATTGTCTTTGATCAAGAGGGTACTAGACATTATGTTCTCAAAACTTAGAAGCCAACAATTTCACAACACTATTAAACCACTGAAAGTGTGTTGGGGTTCCAGGATCTTTTCTGCTTGGATGGAGAATGTGAATTGGTTTTTTGAAGTTTTAGACATCATGATTTTTTGTTCTCATTCTCCTTATTTTCTTATACAGGTTTGGCAAAGGAAATTGGAAGTCAATCCTAAGATTTTATAGTGAGATATTTACAAAGACAGGAAGAACTGAAGTAAGCATCAATGTTTCAAACTCATTAAGTACACATGGCTTAATTTCTTGCCTAACCCACTGAGTGGCTTAACAGATAGATTGTTTTGAGTTATGGTTGGGAGTTTGGTTCCCTTTGTAGTTGTTTTGTATGTTTGTTTGATTTACTTCCCCCTTGTTTCTCCTAAAACTACACACACACACACACACATCTTTATCTATATCTATATCTGAACATGTAGATGAAATCAGAATTGCATTGTGATTTCATGTAAAACCATTTTTTGATTTGATCTTGCATGTATTTTTTTTTTGCCAGTTTTCCATTCCTGCAATTTTGAACTTTGCGCCAGCTTCTTTGTTGACAATGGCAACTTTTTTTATTAAACTTAAATTGCTTTGCCATGCTGTTTGTTTGTGAGCTTAAGTTTTGATATGACAATGATATTTTGTTTTATTTTATTTTTTTCAGGTTGATTTGAAGGATAAATGGAGAAATTTGACACGATAGTCACTGAGTGAGGAATTTGACACTTCTGGAAATCTTTTGATCTGAAGGATAAGAAAAGAAACATGTCGCTATAGTTACAAAGAGGAATTATTTTGTATGTACATACTCCTTGGATGTGCAGTCTCACATTTTGAATTTGCATGCTCCTTCAGGATATCTCATGCTTTGAACTTGCATTTTCACATTTTGGTTGATTCTCCTACTGACTAGGTTTATGACTTAGCCTTTTTATTCTAATTTTCATGGAAAATATTTCATGGGCCATACTAGTTCTAGAATCATAGGGGGCCACTAACATGTAATCAAGTGTAATTTACAAGTTATTCACAAAGGGGCTAATTTATTGAGCTGATAGCGTGAAGATTCTGCATGAATACCAGTTAACTGTCACCTTTGTGTGGAAAATTTATTTATTTATTTATTTTTTTGGAAGAAAAGTCAACATCTAGAAAAGGCAATATCATTAGCTGAAACTGCCGTATTAGGTAATAAAATTTAGTATTCTTTAATCCTTAGCCAGTTTCTCTAGGTATAGATATCAATGTGGATCTTCTATTGGTCTCTCTTTTATCTGCATTTGGCCTTACCAAGTCATTTTTTTTTCCATTTAAATAATGTCAACTTAATTTTCTCACTGAACAAGATGGAGAGATGAATTTTTTGTAAATAGGTTTAGTTTGTCGTTCAAGTTTGGCTGTCTGGACAGTTCGTTATGCAAATTTGTTTGCATAATTACTTTTTACTATTAAAGGTAGACAATTTCCAGTTTAGAAATCAGTTACATACTTGAAAAATTTTGGGGTCTTGTTTACCCATATGATGTGTTGTTGATTTAACCATTGTAGGCAATACAAAAGCAAAGATAAATGTGAATTAGGGTCATTTAAAGAAACTTAAACAGATGGAGTTGATAAAAGATTGTATAAGTGAATTTTACCTAGCTCTCGGTTAGAGGATGAATTGAGAAAAATTTTTTTTTGCATGTGTTCAACAATGTCAACTGTTATAGAGCTTTAGAGCTGAGCCAGATCCTCATTATCAAACTCACAGGGGTTCTAGGTAAATACTTAGGTATACCCTTCAAAAGAGAGCAACCTGTGCTGTTTATGCTTCAATTCTGGACAAGGTGCGGAGGAGATATTCGTCTTGTCAAGGTAAATTCTTAAATAAAGTATAATTTATAATATGCAAACAAAAATGATTATTTACACAAGTAGCATCTAATTTTATGTATGTAAGTATAAGGAAAACAAGGAAACGACGAAAGAAAAACAAAATGAACCTTCAAATTATGCAAGACAATAAGCAATGCCAATTTTTGGAACAAAATTAAGCAATGCTATTGCTGCTTGCACCACCTATGCTTACCCTTAAAACTCAAAGTACACATACTAGAGACTATTAGCGATTACCCCATATTATTCTCCATGAACATGAACAGGCTGACGTCATAATCTTTTGAAAAATTGGAGTTCTGCAGGTGTATAAAGCTGGAAATTGAGAGAGACATTATTCAATAACCTTTATGTATGTATATATAATAGTAATTGTAATCTCGATGCAATTCAAAATGATACTGCACTTGAGAAAATCCAATATGGGGACGGACATATGAAATTGTTGTGAAATGACGAATTGACAGGATGCAATTGGTTCGTGAGTGTATGCATGCATCACTCTTGCAACGTAACATAATCAATGTATAGACCAAAAGACAACATCTCTATGACAACTTTAGCATTATATATCAATACAAAAAGATACAGCCCACAATTCCATAAATTAATATGGGATAACTGTAGCGTTTCCTTTTCATTACTGATGATATAGGGCCGGAATAATTATTTGGTATTTATGGTCCAAGCAAAAGTCTGAAGATGAAACAGAAGTTTATACTTAGTTAATCATGCAAAGAAAGCAAAACTTTCTACCTCTGAAGAAAATTATAAATTTTATTTATGTCACATCCATAACTAAGTCATCAAGTTCATTTTAGTAGTGACCAAGGTACTGAAAGATGGATGAGTCATTAAACCTGTCAAGGTATATTGGTTTAAAAATAAGTTGAAATTATAGTCGAATAATAATCAATCTGTCATGAATAAAACATTTTATTATAATGGTCAAGAAAATAGTTTAATAGTTTATTGGTTTAATTGGACAAGTTCACTTGAATTTTTATACTATAATTTCAATCAGTGGATAGTGGCCCATGAATGTGCTTAATTTTCTTTAGGGGTCCTTAATAGTCATTTTCCTTTATCTTTGTGGCCGTGACATCAAGGGCCTAAGAGAAAATTTATATACCTCTGTATTTGCCGTCTATTGGTTACTTGGTTCTACAGTATCCTTTTTTTTTTTTGAATTTTTATGTGATTTTTAAATTTTAAATATTAAAAAATAAAAGCATACAACAACTCCATTTAAGTCATTGATACTTGAACTAACTGCTTTATTTATAACATATTATTGAAGATTGTCCAAAGTGAAAATAAGATTAAATATGAAGAGGAATAAACTAAAATCAAGTTATCATTAACATGTTGTATTCAAAATTAAAGAAAACCATTAGACTACCCCATTGTCATTAACCCATCCATTTAACTCTAGGGTTTTCTTGAAACCCAATATCAAAGTCCCAAATCATCATCAACTGGCTTACCCAAACATTAGAAACTTAAATAAGCATATAACAACTCCATTTAAGTCAGATCATTCAGTGGAACACAACCCATTTTTGCATTCCAACCCCAACAACCCAATAACTATGAAGAAATTCGCATAGGGAGATGATAAGAAAGATTTTAGAGATTACATAAGTGATTAAAAGCTCCAAATAGCATCCAAATATTGAACCATGCAGGCCCTAACAAAGCAAAATCACCTCTCTCAAATTCCCCCTTATTTTCCTTTTTTTCAACTCTCTCGTGTCTATTTTGTTTTAGATATATACAACTCATCGTGATGGATGGTATAAGATGCCAAATTTGAATTTTGTCTTACTCTACCAAGCCTAATGTGATCTAATGCTATCCCAGGCCCAATTATAAGCCTATCTAATGGTCCAATTGATCCAATAACCATCCGTTAATTACTCTATACTGTAATTAACCCGAATTAACTAATTTATCCTTGATTAACCTTAATTAATCATAATTAAATTTTTAAGATGTTATAGTTAGCTTTTACTAACCATGTTTAGACCTTTATACCATGGTAATAATCAATAGATGGTTTTAATCTTAATTACCAATAGTAGTATTGGGTTAAAATGTGGTAATTTTGGAGTCATTACAACATTGGTATTCAAAGATCCCAAGCTTATCAAAAATCTTGGAGGGAGAGTGAAATCAAATCCAAAAACTCACATGCTTTGGAAGGATATTAGTCAGCCGTTGCAGCTATTTCAATATTATTGGCTCCCAGAATTACCTAAATCTGGATGCCTCGGTGGAAATCGCTGGATTGTACGAGCAACGCTTTTGTTAATTGTGTTAACTTTTCTTTTTATTTTTTATTTTAATAAAATGTATCAAACTTTTCCAATCGCCATATTCCTGCTTGATGTTGTAATTGTTTCTTTGATTTAAAAAATGGACGTGGTGCGATTTTTTAATGGATTAAATAATTATTTTATTTGATTTATTTTATTTTTTTCCCATTTTTCTCCATCAAATATTACCTTCCAAAAATCCACAAATCAATTCCAATTAATTCAAGATATTTATTCACAACTTAATCAAAATTTGAGAAGTTACATATTTAAATTCACAAGCCATGTGCCAGTAAGTCAATAATCTTTATATCTAAATTTGATCAAAGGCAGATTTGTTATTATAACAATTATATGTTTGTATATATTACATGTCGCCATCAAGAATAATCAATGGCTCTTGGTTCAAATGGGTTGGCCTTTATTTCTCCAACATTTTCATCACCTTTGTGGTTCCATAGACCAAAACTTGCTTGAAGGTAATTATAAAAATTTGTTGTAGGTTATTTTGTGTTTTGAAAAAACATAATTTTAAGTCCTTACACTTGCATTTTGTTTGGAGAGACTTAAAGTATCAAAAAATAAAAATATAGGAACTTAAGTCACATTTGATTACTAGAATAAAATGAAATGAAATGAAATGAATTAAAAAAATTAAAACAAAAATTAACTAAATTACTTTTCTTTTCATTGTAAGTATGATAAAACTTATTAATATATACTACAAATATAAGAATCATCACATCCTCTAAAAATTTCATAAATCATGATTATTAACTCTATAAACTAAATTGTTCTTTTTCTTTATGAATGTGCTTACCTATTCCTTTTAATAATCTTATTTTTTTAATTTATTTCATTCCATTTCATTATAATGAGCAAACGGGACTTTAAAATATTAAAAAAAAATGTAGGAACCGATACTCAGCAGCAAAACGTAAATAAAATGTAAGGATCATGTGCACCATTTGCCTTTTTTTTTTTTTTTTTTTAGACGCCTGCATCATCTTAAAGATTATTTGTCATCTTTTTCGGTGCACAATGTTCAGTAAAGAAAAGAAGAAAGCAATGTGGGAAAGGCAGAGAAGTTGAAGGTGATGATTCATGTGCACCATTCGCTTTAGGACTTTTTCCTTTAATGGTTATTTTGCTTTTGGACATGGTATGATTTATACTTTTATTTGTTGTGTATCTGTTATCACGGATAAAAATTTCGGAGGATAACAATTAGTCCCTGATAAAAGTTTTTAAAAAATAAATAATACATTTAAATTTAAATAATTATAGACAGAAATTTCTATAATAACTTAAGAGTTACATTTAATACTTAAATACTTATTTATAATTAATATTTTTGGATTAGTAATTATCTGAATAGATACTTTTAACTTATTTTTTTTAAAAAAATTGCTGGGGACTTTATTGTCATTTATTTAATATTTTGAGACCTAATTGTCATTCTCTTTAAAAACTTTTAGGCCTATAATTTAACACTCTCAAAATGACAAATTCAGACAAAATAAAAAAGTTCTGATTATAATTATTTTTTTAAGCACAAATGATAATAAGGTCACTTCAAATTATATAATCCCCATTTTGTTAAGTTTTCTTGATGGCTATTAATGTTGACCATTAAAGAATAGGAAAGCAAATATAAAATGTAAAAATACCTACAAATTTATTTTCTCTAAGAGTTTCTAGTATCTTTAAGTTAACAATAGTACATAAAAACCTTTACTTTATACAAAATCTATTAACAAGTGGCCCGCCATAAATAACAAATACCTTATATGATATTGACTATTAAATGAGTAAATTTTTCATTAACAAATGACCCAGCATAAATAATAAGTATTTTAAATAACAGTGATTATTAAGTGAGCATATTCTCTATTAACAAGTAACCCATCATGAATAACCAGTATTTTATATAATAGTTATTACTAAATGAGTATATTTTTTATTAATAAGTCATTCAGTATAAATGAAAAGGTTATACAATAACTACTGCTAAATGAGAACATTTTAGTTGTTAACAAGTACTTCATGTCAAATAGTTTCGACGGTTTAGTGCCAAACTCTTTTAGGATCGAAGAGACTCTGTACTCAAATCCTCCCAAGACCAACTCATGATAATAAATTCCCTCGCCGCAATCAGAGCTCCGACAATCGGCAATGGGCTCTGTTGGCCAAAGCACCAGTGACTGGGCAGATAGTTTTTGTAAAAAAAGAAAAAGGGGGGGGGGTCACATAAGAGTATTTTAGCAATTAAATATAAAATATATTTAAAACAAAAGATTTGGAACCTCAGGATAGTTTGTCCATTTCATAAGTTCTTAAAATATTCTCAATCTTAGGAGGAATTTTGGAGTGATTTTCCCATATTTTTTTAACAAGATTTTAAGAGACTAAGTTAAAAAAAAAAAAGTTATATTAAGGAGTTTGTTTCAGACTTTACGCGAAAATATTTGGCCTATAAATCAATATATTAGAACATGTATATTATAAAATTTATATAAAAATTATGATGTGTGTGTGTGTTAAATAATGTGATCCACGTTAAACATTTACTTCACACAAAACATCGTCTAAGTTTATGAGTATAATTTTATCGACAATGTTATAAATATGCCTTGCTATTTGCGGGCCTTAATCTCGCTTTTCCATATTAAAATCATTCTCAGTGCTTAATCTATTTTATTGTAAAAGAAAATTGGGGATAAGGATCACATGGGTCAAAAATTTAGCAGAGGTACTAAACATTGAATATCCTTGAAAATGTATTGTACAGATTTACAATTGATCAGCTTAAAGTACTGACAAAAGATATTTTTAAAAATTTCTTAAAGCTCGAGTGTAAATTTTGAAATCTGCAGTGATCTTGAAATATTTTATCCTATATCCTAAAATTTTCGCTTATTTAATCATTATCCCGGATTTTTCATTCTTGTAAATTGTGAAGGGTCCTGACTCATGTATCTTTTTTCCGTGCATAATGTTTTCTATAGAAAAGAAGAAAAAGCCGACAGGAAAAGTTGGGGTGATGTCTCATAAGGCCCATTTTGCTTTTGGTTATATATATATATATATATATATCTTGTTTTTATACTTTTCTTATTAAAAAACTATAAGGCTTTAAAGTTTGTGAGTT